CCGGTTGCGCGGTCTCGGAAGCGAGGCCGAGGGCGGCATGGCGGGCCTCGGCGGGAGCGGTTGGGAGGAGGCGGTGGGGGAGGGGAGGGGACGAGTAGGCACATCCGGGCGAGTGAGCGGGCGGGCGGGCGGCGGCCACATTGACATTGATCCGCGGCCGTGTTACGAAATGGCGCATTGGCCTGCAATGGCCGCCGCCTCGCTTCGCAGCGGGGAGAGAGCCTGGGATTGGAGGGATGTGGGAGGAGGCGGCCGGGCAGAAAATACTGCAAATGGCCTTGAAGTTCCGGGCGTAGTGCTTTCGTTGAAGTTCTGCCGGCGCGTTTCTAGGCCTTTACAGATCTCTTCAGCGTCGAGAATTCATTAATTCTCTGGCCTGTTCTTTTTTCCGCAGCATCCACTTGGAAATAGGAGATTTTTCAAAAGTTTGCTGCTTTAAAATACTTTTTAATTTGCTATTCTTGCTAAAGTACTTAGAATTATGTTTGTCAAATCGCCGTGTGGGTGAGGTACTTAGTATTTCAGAATTTGTAGATGCTAAGAACGTAAAAAATTTTTTGATCTGTTTTCCCACGCTTTGGGTTGGCTTTGGTTGTGGTGTACTGGATTTTTGCCTTAAGAGGACAGCAGCCACGTTTACTTCGTGTTAGCAATCAAATGCCTTTGTTCAGTACTTGAAAAGATAAGGCTAAGTGAATGAATGCTTTAGGCTATTAATCCTTTAACATTTTTTTCTAGCATGTGACTGTCCCTTCACTTTAAATGCCTTAACAGCTCTACTTCTAGAAGACACAGGAAGACATTAGAATGTAAATGTGAGCCCCTTTATTTAAGGACTTTGGATGACCAAAATCTTAATGCATGCGTTACATTTAGTTCGTGCAGTTTATTAAATTTATTATGGCTTTTGGCTGTAAAACAGGCCACATAATTACTATTTTTTATTAAATCTCTATTTCTGTTCTATTGTGCTCCGTTTTTCCGATTAGGCAATACTTGCTATAATTGTAGATCCTACTAGCCAAATCGTTGTAACTCTGAAAATTGTGTTGGTTTTGCAGCATATAACAAACATTGCTTAATAGAATGCTGTAACTGGTGGTAGGCTTCTTGGGAGGGGGAAGAAGACTGGTTTAGCTTAGGAGTGCTTATTTTAACATGGATTTGCTTGAAACCACTGGCTTTCTCTGAATTTACTACTTAAAACTTTTAAGTTGTATTCCATCACAGTTTTATTATTTAAAATTAAGCACTTGTTGGGATGTGGAATGAGAAGACTTGAAATGACATGGATGGAACACTGCTTCTACAACAGTTTAGTGTCTTAAAAAATAACTTCTCAATAGCAACTTTTCAAGTAATTTTTACTTCTAGTTGCAGCTTAAAATGGAGTTTTGATTATGGAATTGTCTTGGATTTCAATTTAGCTGAAATGATACTGGCATTTGAGAGGCTGATTGTAGGTTTCCTTGGCACCTTATAGTTTATGTAACAGTCCATATGCCTAGTCAAATTTTTAACTGGAGAAAGTTAATTTTACAGGAATTTGATGTTGATTTTATTTGTAGTAGGTTAAGGCCTGTGCGTCTTTCTTAGCAATTCGTCTGCTATACAAAATAATTAAAATATACTGATTCTTTTTCTCAGGGCCATGATCCAAAGGAACCAGAGCAGTTGAGAAAACTGTTTATTGGTGGTCTGAGCTTTGAAACTACAGATGATAGTTTAAGAGAACATTTTGAGAAATGGGGCACACTCACAGATTGTGTGGTAAGTTACTAAGGGAAAAGTTTTTTAGGAAGGGGGTGTGTAGAACCTGTGGAAGTGTTTCAGTGCTTTAAAATTTTTATCTTGTAGGTAATGAGAGATCCCCAAACAAAACGTTCCAGGGGCTTTGGTTTTGTGACTTACTCTTGTGTGGAAGAGGTGGATGCAGCAATGTGTGCTCGACCACACAAGGTTGATGGGCGTGTTGTGGAACCAAAGAGAGCTGTTTCAAGAGAGGTATTTTTAATATGTTGTGTAATATGTGAAACTGTTGTGAAAATTTGTGGGGATTTTTTGTTTGTTTGACTCTTCGTGTATTTTATTCAGGATTCTGTAAAGCCTGGTGCCCATCTTACAGTGAAGAAAATTTTTGTTGGTGGTATTAAAGAAGATACAGAAGAATATAATTTGAGAGACTACTTTGAAAAGTATGGCAAGATTGAAACCATAGAAGTTATGGAAGACAGGCAGAGTGGAAAAAAGAGAGGATTTGCTTTTGTAACTTTTGATGATCATGATACTGTTGATAAAATTGTTGGTAAGTAGCCATTATAGGAACTTGGATGAGAAAGCAGAAGTGGCTTCTCTGTTTTCAACTTAATTTGCTTAATTGCTCATGATTTTGTGTTGTGCCTAATAGCATATAAAGTATATAGTCATTTTCATAAAACGTCTACATCTGTGTAACAAGCATTCAGATCAAGAAATAAACATCCCAGAACGCTCATTCATCCCCAGTCACTACCTTCTTCACATTTTAGAGCGTTACATAATGACAAAGGATATTATTTGTACGTGCTTTTCCAAACATAAAGTAACTTCTTGTTTGTTTGTTTGATTAAAAAAATTTAGTTCAGAAATACCACACTATTAATGGGCATAATTGTGAAGTGAAAAAGGCCCTTTCTAAACAAGAGATGCAGTCTGCTGGATCACAAAGAGGTGAGTAGGACCATACTCATGTACACAATAGATAGGAGTAGTGTTTGTAAAATTCTTTAAAATCTTCCTCGCCTGTCTTGAAGGTCGTGGAGGTGGATCTGGCAACTTTATGGGTCGGGGAGGAAACTTTGGAGGTGGTGGAGGTAATTTTGGCCGTGGTGGAAACTTTGGTGGAAGAGGTAGGATGTTAATCTTATTTCTGAGTTTCTAAGTATACGAGTACATGAAATTTAGTTGTAAGTTGAATATGTAATTTTAATTTCTATTTTGCTTTTCCTTAGGAGGATATGGTGGTGGAGGTGGTGGCAGCAGAGGTAGTTATGGAGGAGGTGATGGTGGATACAATGGATTTGGAGGTGATGGTAGGTTTTTATTTTAATTGATGTTTGATGTTTTGGCTGCTTTTTTATTAAGAATTAAATTAGTGGCTCGGCGCCTATGGCACCTATAGCTCAACCGGCTAAGGCACCAGCCACGTACACCTAAGGTGGCGGGTTCGAATCCCCAGCCCAGACCCGCCAAACAACGACGGCTGCAACCAAAAAA